TATCATTGCCATTGTAATTATATTCGTTATTATCATTATTCATTGTAAGTAATCTTACAAACTAGTAAAGAAGCAACGGCATCAAAAAATGAATTAGATAAAGATGATAAAATTTTTTTTATTCACATGATATTTTATTTACACGGATCATCCGGATATCCTATAATTTCTAAAATTTCAATCCACAATCCGTTAGCACTTTAAAAAAGCCATCCGTCCATCCGGATTGTTTTGTGGATATCCGGATTGACCATCCACGGATCGCATCTCTAGTCTGGGTCACTTCTCTGACACCCACTTCATTGACAGGACACTTCACCGACAACACACGGGGTTACTTTTAACCTTCACACAATCAAACAACTAATAAAATGCTAAAATATCACATCACGTGTTTTTGGTGAAGTGTACTGTCAGTAAAGTGGTTGTCAGTAAAAGTGGTTGCCAGTAAAGTGGACGGGACCCAAATAAACAATGCTCTATTATATAATACTAATTGGTTTTATTTTCAGGCAATGAATTATTGTAAAATTAAATCATAGATGATTGTTCAATGCTATGGTATAACTAAATTCCCAGATAATGGAAATTATGCAATGGTTTTAACTTGTGCTTCAGAAGGGAACTTGAGGGATTATTTGCAAAGAAATCATTTAAATTTAACATTAAAAGACAGAATTACAATCTTTTATTATTTATGTGCTGCATTAAATGATATACATAAAAAAGATTTAGTCCATTGTGATTTACATAGTGGTAATATACTATTGCAAGTATACATGATTTGGTAATTAGCTAATTACCGTAAATACTTAATTCGTAATTAACGTAATTAATTACCACTTTCACTCTTTAAAAACGTAATTACGTAATTAATTACGGGCGACGAAATTAATTACGGGTGACGAAACTAATTACGGGTGACGAAATCAATTACGGGTGACGAAATTAATTATGAATAACAACGAATTAATTATTGGAAATATCATAATGCAAGTCACTCCCGTTATAACAACACTCTCCGTA